TGTGCATAGACGGACGGACAGACGGACGGACGGACGGACGGGCGGACGGACGGACGGACGGAAAGACAGTCACCGCTTAATCGATTTCACTTTTCATTCTGATCATTTATGTATACATTTGTCTATATCTATCTCGATTCGTTTTGCCTGTTACAAACAACCGTTATGTGAACAAAGTTATAATACCCTTGTGCACAAGTGCGCTCGGGTATAAAAAGTATGTATGTAACGTAAGTTTCACTTCTCCAGTGTGGCCCAGGCACACTTACTTTTTCTAATGAAAGCTTTGAAGAGACCAGTTGAGCCTGATTTTTTGTTTTTGACGTAGAATACGTCTTACGTTTCGATGTGGAGGCTATGCTGAAATGGTGTATTTGTAATTTTTAGATTAGTATGCCGTTACAAGGACAAAAAACCTATCGACAGATACATATATTTATGTAAGTAACCAATTCGGTTTCTGTCGTAAAAACAACAGTAAACATTGCCTTGTTTCGGGGTCAATTTTGGGCCTTTAAAGTGCTCCAGCAGCTTATGATTTGCAGATATAACTCTCATTTTCGGGATGTGGATTCTTTGGAGCAATAGAAATATTATCGTGTACAGATTTTATATAAATCCAACAAATATTGAGCATTTTAAGGCAAAAAATTGTTGAAAAAATTTGCAAATTTTTGGTATTACCAAAATGCTCGAAAACCGCTCAAATGATTTGGTTTTTATTTTCTTTAATCAAAAATTCAATAGTTTTCCTTTCGTTTGGTATATGGGAAGTATTGGTTGATATCTTCTAAGCATATTTATTTGATTCAAATATATGGGCATAAATTATTTCCCATACAAAATCACTTCGTCATCGTTTTGCAAACACGTGCATGCGTTGGAAGTGAGGGAAGGAGACAAAAAGTATGTATGTGTGCGTAAGTATATATTTCAGTTTTTTATAAACAGATGGCACAATATTTATAACCTAATCGCGCGTATGTACTTATGTAAATACATACATTGTACATATCGCACACCGTCTTCAAAAGAGTCACAACTAAAAATTTGGCATTTTTGAGATTAAGCGCTAAAAATGTACGCAGCAGAGTCAGCAAAAGCTGGAGCCAATTTTTGTTATAATTTGTTGAAAAAAAGGTAAAGTCTCCCGCGCCCGTATGGATAGTATTTGCTACGAAATAGTTTTTCGCATTTTCTGACGAACGTGTAACTTTGAGTAGTGACCCTTTTGAAGACGGTGTGCGATATGTTGATAGCAGTTAATGTGGATTTGTTTCTAAAAAAGGCGAAAACTTTTTGAAGTGAAACAACACTTAGAAAAACACCTATCCAAGAATAAAGGTGAGTACGTACATAGATAAAGAAAAGGATAAAGGCAAAAGTAAAAATAAAAACAAAAACAAAGTTGCGTAGAGATAAAGGCAAAAATGAAACCAAGGTAAATTTAAACCATTTACTTATATAAGGGCAAAGGTGAATATGTAGTATATGAAGAATATGATAAACATAAAAAAAAAAACAATATAAATATGAAGAAAAAGATGAGGATGGGGATACCGATAAAAGTATAGATGAAGATAGCGGAAGAAAGATTAAAATAAAGGAAAAGAAAAGGATATAGATAGAGGCACAGAGACTCAATCTGGGAGCTATTTCGGGATTTCAGAGATTTTCGGGATTCTCGGGACTTATCGATATAATAATCGATATTTTGTCGGTTTTGTGATCGATATTTTTATCGATTTTGATATTGAAATTTTTATCGATATTGTTGTTGATTTTGCTATCGATATTTTCGGAACTTATCGATATGATGGTCGATATTTTTATCGATATTTTTTATCGATTTTGTTATCGATATTTTTATTGAATTTGTTATCAATATTTTTATCAGTTTTGTTATCGATTTTGTGAACGATTTTGCTATCGATTTTGTTATCGGTATTTTTATAGATTTTGTTGTCGATATTTTAATCGATTTTGTCATCGGTTTTTTTATCAATATTTTTATTGATTGGGTAAACGATTTTTCTATCGATACTATTATCGCTTTTGTTATCGATATTTTTATCGGTTTTATTATCGATATTTCTATCGATATTATTATCGATTTTGATATCGATATTTTCATCGATTTTTTTATCGATATTTTTATTGATTGGGTTAACGATTTTTCTATCGATACTATTATCGTTTTTGTTATCGATATTTTTATCGGTTTTATTATCGATATTTTTATCGAGTTTGCTATCGATTTTGTTATCGATTTTTTGAATAGATTTTGTAATCGATTAAGTTATCGATTTTGTTATTCTCCGATACAGCCTGCAGACCAAGACAAAGGCACTGGACTGTTCCTTTTTTATAAGCTTTTTTTCCTTGTATTAAATTTTTTAGTGCAAATGGCAGAATAAGTAGCAATTTTGAAGAAAATCGTTTATCCTGTGGTAGTTAATAAATGTTACATAATAAAAGCCAGTTGAAAACAATTGTACCCCCAAAGCGAAAAAAAACGTTCCAAAAAAAGTGTGGAATCTTATGAAAAATATGTTCACCAAAATTTAAATTGCTACTTTCTCCGCACTTTGCACTAAAAAAATTTTATCTAAACATATACAAATTCACAAATCGGACTTAACTTGCTAATTTTCAATTCAAACTGTGCGGTGGAAAATTTAGCATTACTTCCAGAGATTTGGTGAGTGTAGGTAGAGGTAGAGCTTAAGTGACTAGCAAGGAAGCCGTCCTCTGTACCCGTTCCATCTTGCTTCTGGACAAAGTCTTGTGTAACGCCGGCTACCATACGGTGACGCCGTATGCATATACATATGTGATTTATTCCCCATTTTTTGCCTATAGCCGTTTTGCAGGCATAGAGGTTGATATTGGCCTCCCTGGAGCAGTTTTCGATGTTTCGCTTCCAAGTAAGTTTCCTGTCTAGGGTAACTCCAAGAAAAGAGCTAGTTCTACCCAGGGTGGGAGGTTTGATTAGAGGAAGATTGTATTTCCACGTTAATAGTACCATCTTTGTCTTAGTATGAATGACGCAGAGTCCACAATCCTTAGACAAGATGTTTACAAGACTTAATGCATTTTACAATAACTCACTTAGAAGAAACGAAGTAAGACGTATAGGTCTGAAATCTTACGGTTTCACATGAACGGCGCTGCCCCCTTTTGGCAGAAAAATCACCGTTATCCATTCATATGGTATGTGAATTAGGGATTAGCAGCATTTAAAATCTGAGTAAGCAGGGGGCACAGTAGGTCCTTAGCTGCATGCATAGGTGCGCGAAAGACTCTTATCAAGTGTCGGATATTTGTAGAATTGGAAGGACATTATAGCCCATTCCACCGTATCATAACTTACGATGCCCTATGCAGTGCTGCCTGTGGACAGATGAGTCCTATGAAATATCAGGTGTCGTCAGAGCACTCTTAAGGATCTCCCGCATTTCGTCATATGATGATGACAAGTCACCGTTACGCTTCTGAATAGAGTTAATACTTGAAGAAGATTTCGACTGTTGGCATCAGAGTTTTCTTCTATGTTATTGCAAAAGTTTTGCTAAGATTCGCGGTTCGCCTTCTTTATGACCTTCTTGAAAAATTTTAGTACATCCTTGTAGGAGTGTCACAAAACTGTTCTCTTGGCTTGATTAAAAAGTCACCTGTCATTCTTTCTCAGTGCTCAGGTATCACAATCCCACTACCAGGGTTTCTTTTTGGCCTTAAAAAGTTTGGTGGAGAGGAAACTCAGAAAGCAGCATTACAGTCATTTATCACAAAAATAATAATAAGAGTATAGGTTGGGGCGCAATTGCATAGTACACCAGTTCGGTGAGCTCCGGAAGCTCGGTGAAAATCCCTGCTACTAATATTTCGCTGAGGTCAGGTATTTTCTGCTGTCTGTTGAAAAGCACGGGATTCGTATTTTCCGGTTCCCGCCCCGTTCTCGTTTACCACACAATAATAATATAATAAATAATAATAGTTTGTTGGGTGATCCTTATAACAAATCTGTTCTTGTTGGGAGCTACATATCCGAGATTGCCATAATAAGAATATCGTTGACATAGACGACAAATTTTACTGCCAAGAGTTAAATGTTCTTAAGGAGTTTTCTTTTCCATTTACATTGTGAAGATCTACTCTAACCTATTACAGTCTTCATATTTACTTCGATTAAGTGACGAATATATTCCTTCAGCATCGTGCGATTTTTCCATGTCTTAAGTAATATGAACAGATGTTCAAGAATCAGTGGTAAACACTCTTACACGTACATATGTAGATAGATATATATTAACAGAATATTAACAAATAAGCAGTTTGATTATCACAGTCTGAATGAGTAAAGCCTAAGGTAGGTACTTTTCCTGAGGCATTGAACACAACAAACAAGAGATAAGAGATGTAGCGAAAACCAATTATTAAACGTTATGTACATACATATTATGTATTGTTGTTTTTATGCATGCAATATAATTAATTTTAGCATGCAGACATATTTCGATTAATTTATTAAATACATACGTGCATGCATATATTCCTGAATAAAAAACAAATTATGGTATGGCACATCTGTTCTTGAGCCCACAAGCAAGACATAAATGACAGATGCTGCACATTAATGTGTAATGATAATAGGCATATCATGCCAATATGCGACATATCGTACGAGTATATACACACACTATTACTTAAGCATAAACACCTCATGCATACAAGCTCACACATGTTCTCTCACCTTAATAAAACAATAACATTATTATTATTATAAATCAGAATATAAGATCACCAACATGGTCACAAAAGGTCGTGCAGAATCCATAATGGTTTGTTTGTTTTCTTTTTGACAATATAATTGGAAAGAAATCTGCCGCCTCACTGATAAGTGAAAGTGTATATAAGGGCACATTTGCTGTCAAACAATCAACAGTCTTTAGGCATTGGAGCCAAGTATCTAATCCGGAGCAGT